GAACTCATGAAAAGTATAATAGAAATATGTAATGAACTAAATAAATTTGTAACATCACAAAAATTAGCAAGAAAATTAAAGAAATGGAAAAAAATGAACATATATTTCAATACTAAAGATGACACACACATATCTAAGTAGTATGTTTTTATATAAATCGAAAATGACAAATTTATTTAAAAATAAAATCTAAAAAATATAATACTATGTAGAATAAAAACAGAAGAAAACGATGGTGTAATCTGCTTATGCCTAAAATGTATTCTTCTCAAGAAAAATAAAATTAAAATCGCCGGAACACTTCTGCGCCGGCGAGAATCTTCGACCTCTCAAACCGGGTTTCGTGTATGGCCCAGAAGTGAACCTGCGAGCTCGAAGGGGTTTTAAACACGACAAGCTAATATTTCGATTTTTCTTCTACAAAGTTCGTTACTAAAGTATTAACATGAAAAAGAAATTTGAGTTTAATAGAGAAAACGAAAGACGTAGGCTAAAATAAACCGCGGCATTTCCAAAGAAAAGAGCAAAGATCTCCCAAGACTTTATAAAAATGAGAAAGTACATAACGTAGTGACAGTAATGAGATTCGAATTAACAACTCCGAAGAGAGTGCTATCTGAAACCAGTGGCTTAGACCACTGGACCACCCTACCGTGTACCGTGTGCTCCGATGTCCAACTTTTCTCTTCGCTTGAAGGGACTAGAGCAGTCAACTAATCGTTCCTCTTCTCCGGACCTCAATTACAATGTGTCTGTCGCTACTTTGAATATACCGACTTTCTTTGAGATAAATTCCATATACTACATATGGGTACAATCGTTTTGTTTTCAATGAAAGCTTTCGTTGTTTCTTGCTTAGGTTTCACGCCAAATTTTATATGTGACTACAACGTCTATCCGCGCCAAACTTCCCACTAAAAGTCTCTTTCGCATTCTGCCAACTCCTAATCTGCGTTTCGGTTGTCTTTGTGCGCGTTGTTTACGATCCAATACCAGAAGGTACTGTACATGTGGTCGCACAAGACCAGACAAGACTAGTTTGGCTGGGCATCCGTTCAAGAATCCAATTACGAAATTGAAGACCTAAAAACTAACGATTTCCGAAGACGTAACGATGATCTGAATTTCTGATGGCGCGTTTCTGATGGAAACCCTGTCTTTTTTTCGGACGGTGTTTGCGAACGCAATCCATCTCCTCCGATTACAAGTATTGGTTTAAAGAGTAGCACGGAACAAAGCCGAGGCCATATAGTCGCAGGGAATTAATTACTCGTAGTCAATCTCAGCGGCAAAGGCTTGGCTACTACACGAGAACTTTATCCATTGTTTTCTGGAAGTGTCAGTCAGCATGCACAGTTAAAATTTTGATAACGACGCAAGCAGTTGGTAGGGTGGCCGAGCGGTCTAAGGCGCTGGTTTAAGGCACCAGTCTCTTCGGAGACGTGGGTTCGAATCCCACCCCTGCCAGTTAATACGTTGTTTTGCGTCGATGCATGCAAATCAAATCGTCGCATTTTGTCGATTCGTACAAAAATGGACAATGACATTGCTACTTTTGCTCAATGCGTTTATTGTAATCGATTCGCGCTTAGAATTTGAGGTTATCGAAGAGATTTCTGATGAAAATTCGAGTTTTGCACGTTACGCGGAAAACTGAAATAACACAATCGTTTGCAGACAGACTGCGCGCTTTGCATCAGCATTTGTTAAACATGACCGTAAAAAACAGTAAAAGTTCTAGTACAAATAAGGTGGAGGGTAAAAAGAAAGCTTTGCGTTTCAAGATTGCGCAAAAATCTCGTTGGCAGGGGCGGGATTTGAACCCGCGCCTCCGAAGAGACTGGTGCTTAAAACCAGCGCCTTGGACCGCTCGGCCACCCTACCAGTCAATCGCGTTCGACAAATGCCGCATCAATTAAGAAGAAGACAAGAAGGTTTCGGCCTTTCTCCTAAAGCCTGGTGCGTGCCTACGGCAGCAGAGAACAGTCAACGTGAGGCTAAACAGGCCAACAACACCGCATAATCACCTCAGCTGATATTTTTGTTTTTCATTGGATGGTCATCATTTTTCCTATTCGAAAATCAGAGTCTTCCTTGTCCTGCTATCTCACCACAAGGGGAACGTTTCTTTTATTTACTTTTCATAAAATTAAAAATTTTTTTTTAACAAACAACTGAAAATACAGAAAACAATTAAACATATATATACAAGATTTTTGTTTTATATTTTAAAAAAACAATTTCGACAACCTGTCGTTATTTAGGCAAAGGAAGGTTGCTTGTCTCCCTTGCCTTGACGTTAGAATTTTCTTCGGAAATGTATTGAGTTCCTGAGTAAGATTTCTGTTTCGTATTATGTTGTATAAGTTTGGGTGGGTTTATTACAGAATTGCTGGTATAGTAAGAAAAGTAATGTTTTTTCTCTCTTATATCTGTAGCAGCCAAAGTTATTTAAAATCTGTTATTTACCGCTGTCGCAAGCTGCAGTCTGTTTTTTTTCGAATTTTTTTAGGTCGTCATAAGTGTTGCAGTGTCCAATATATAACTGGGTGCTTATAAAGTCAGCTAAAAGCCATAGGAAATTTCTTATTTTTTCTTCAATACTCCGCAGGAAAGAACGTATATCGTACTTTATTAGTGTTCGACCATGTTTTTTGCCACTCTTTTTTGTTTTATTTTTTATTAGCATTTTAATGTTTAAAATTAGAATTTTTTTGTGAGTGTCTACTTTCTCTAGTGTTTTACTCAGTGCGAAAGTACCATTAATAGATCTTTGAACGTTTATTTGAACTATTCTTAATAATTATCATTCTATCTTTAGAACTTCATATGTTACTGTTCTCCATAGTCCGTTTTAGCAATTAACATCTTCATTTTTTGTATCAGTGGGCACCGCTTTGCACTATGGGCAAAAGTGGCTCTAAACAGAAAATTCCGTCTGCTTTATCTAATAACCATGATAATAGATAATAGATTAAAAGTAATCGCAAAATGTAGTCAGGTGATAGTCTACATTACGTCATGTCATGTGATATCTGATTGACCAATAATATGTTAAAATTTTAAAAAAATGTGCTGTTATTTTATAATTAATCGATATTTTTAAACAAAATCATTAAAAAAACTATTAGGAGGCGGTCTGCTTAGTAGAATTTTTTATAAACTAATTTCTCTATCGAACATTAAAGATCGTCGAAAAGATTAAAATTATTATATATAATAAATTGATATTTTTTAATAATATTTAAGGAATAAAAACAATCATTTTTTCATTAGAAATTTACAACTTAGATTAGAATATGAATATTTCTTAATTAATGTAAGTTGTTTTCACAAGATTCGCTCAATTTCCTTTGCAGAATTGATAATTTCAAAGAATTAAAGACAAGACGCAACCTCGGGCCATACCGATCCCGAAGATAGCGCCTGGTTTTCGCCTAGTGTGATACTGGTGCTTCCGAAAGATGCGAAGGACGAGATCGGACAGCGCAAGTCGCATACACCCGATGTCAAAGGGTGGTGGTGATAACTCCGGACGACAACGACAGCGCTTCGTCTGTCATCCATTATCTGGAGCGCGATACCCTGAAATTGCAAAATGGACGGTCGAGACACGGTCACGTAACACATGATTCGACGGAAACGAGTCCGAAGAAATGGTAGAAAAATGCCTCGAGCGTAAAAGATCTTGGTAGAAAAGGTTGTTTTTCTGCTGGAAAACATAAACCTTTAGTCTGTCGAGGTCTTCTTATGCTCATTTCGACTTTCCACCGAACGTGACACAGCCACCGGAAGTGGCCTTTCACCTGAATATGACTATTTCATCTGGAATTGATTTTTCATCCGGCTACAGCTTAATCAACTGGACTTGACTTTCCTTTTCGATAGGGATTTTTTTTCTTTGCCCAATTTACGGACATACTTTGACGCCATTCGAGATTCGTTCTTGTACTTCGGTTAAAGTGCCTAGAACAGGGGTCGGCAGTTTGTCAAGTGAGAAGAGCCAAATTGTCATGAAAACAGGATAACAAAAGTACTAGAGAGCTTCATATTAATTTAAATGTGCGAAATACGACACACGACAGAGGCGCCTCTAGTGGCCGTTTTCGGTATAACGTTACACGGATGGACGGACACGCGTTCAATGGGATAAATTATATATATAGATATGCTTTAAATGCTACCACTTTTATGCGACTCATATTGATCAACGCGAGTGTGGTCATGTGCGGACGGAGAACAAGTCGAAGTTTGTTCGGCGGCTCTATCTCATAAACTCATAAGTTATAAGGCTGCGATGAAATGAGGTGAGATGAAATTGGAGTTTATGTCCGAAGAGCCGCAAACGTCTATGCAAAGAGCCGCATGTGGTTCGCGAGCCGCTAATTCCGACCCCTGCCCTAGA